TCCAATCCAGAACTAGCAACGTGCCTTTTTCGACCGGTGCAAACTACCTCGGTACTGTTGCCAGTCATTCCAAGTTATACGTTGAGCATACACTCGTTAGCCCATATGTCCCATCGCTTCCAAGGTTCGGTCGCAGTATTGTGCCGACTGGATGCGGCATGCTTTCCCCTTCCAGTAGTATCTGCGCTTCGGAGGGCGGCCTGTTCCATTGCTACCGAGGCCAGTGTGTATCCATGTTGAAAGAGCCACGGACATCGGGTGATTGCCAATCCAGGCGATGCATACCTAGGCAGCGTCGTGTGCAGAGTTTACAGTATAGTACGTGCAGTACACGGGTAACGTTCGATTAAGCATAGCTTCCGGGACTAAAGCTTCCCCACAACTCGTCTATTACCCTTGTCCCGGTAGTCATACGCCACCAGAATTATTGAAACAGTCATGTCTGCTCGTGACACTATGTAGCGCAGTGCCCCTTTTCCGTCAATGAGCGACGAGCCTTTCGCGGTCGACCCAGTTGGCAGATTGTCAGGAACTTGCGGGAGGATCTGCTGATGCGCCTATAAATTCCAGGCACTCTGCATAGACAATTGCTCTGGCTGGCATCTGAGACTTGATCTTACAATACCGCCATGCGACTTCTCAGACTCGTAGGCTTTGGCCTGTCCGGCTTGATCGTAAATGCGACGCTCCAGATTGTACCTGGCGCGACTTGGACAGCAGTGCGTTTCGTCGTACCCATGAGCAAATGGCAACTGACATTACACCAGACCAACACAGGCCAGCACATTCAGGCTCACGGCGCCGGCATCATCAAAGATGGCGAAAAGTGGTATTGGTAAATAGCTCTACGCGCAAGGGCAGCCTCTACCGGTGCTGATGCGCCCGCAGGATTGGCGAAGATAAAACAAACGGAACCGCTTTCACAAACATCAACTGCTATTCGTCTACGAACCTTGTCGAATGGTCTTATGAAGGCGCTCTAATCTCGCGGACTGCATCTGGCGACACAGGGCCCGATCGTGTTATTGAGAGACCAAAAGTTATGCACAACAAGCGAACGGGTAAGTATGTCCTGTGGGCTCACATTGACAGCGCCGACTATGGTGAGGCGAAGATTGGGGTCGCAATAGGCGACAGCGTTTGCGGAAAGTATTCGTATCTACGCAGCGAGCGACCACTGGGCTTCGAGAGTAGAGATTCTGGCGTGTTTGTCGATGACGACGGCAAGGGCTATCTACTGACCGAAGACGTATGACTGCCTCGTAGCACAGTAGGAACCTGTTTCTGACGAAGCCAGCGCCGCAACGGCCTACGCATCAACGCACTGTCTGATGATTATCTCAGCGTTTCCAGCAATGTCTACGTCTGGAAAGAAAAATACGAGTCTCCGGCCATGATCAAACACGAAGGCGTTTACTTCATGTTCGCCTCGCAGCTTACGGGGTGGAGCCCGAATGACAACTACTACAGCACGTCGACGTCTCTCTCGGGTCCATGGTCGTCGTGGCAAAAGTTCGCCGACTCTGGGTCCAACACGTACGCTTCTCAAACAAGCTTTGTACTGTCTGTGGGGGATGGGTACGTGTACATGGGGGACCGATGGCACAGTGAAAATCTGATGAGAAGCACATACGTATGGTTACCGGTTGAGATATCTGGAACGACGGCTAGCATGAAGAACGCTGTCAACTGGATCCTGGACCCCGGTACTGGAGCCAGCAGGGCCGGGCCCAAAGAAAACATGTACGAAGGCGAGACGGCAGAGCTTGCTAACGGAGCCACATCTCGAGCATGCTCCTCGTGCTCGGGCTCGAAGGCCATTGGGTACATTGGCGGCGTGCCCTCGGGGTCCGCCACGTTTTCCAAGGTGGAATCTTCAGCAACGACGCGCACGACTGTGAGAATCAAGCATCTCAACGGCGACAAGCAGCAAAGGTATGCAGCCATCAGCGTGAATGGGAAATCGCAGAGGGCGGCGTTCTTGCCAGACGGGGGAGGAGGCCCGGCAAGTTCAGTGGTGCACATCAACGTGGAGCAGGGCGTCAACGAAGTCAAGGTTGGCGGGGTGGATGAGGGCTGGGGGCCGGACATTGACAGGGTGTTTGTTCCCGTAGAGTGAGGATGGGCTGATGAAGACTAGCAATGTATGGTGTTCAGTGCATCGACTTGCTCATGATGGCGTATTCGGCGGGGATGACCCTGTTTCTCGTGATCCTGTCGTCGGGGCTGCACTCGTCCCTGGTGTAGCCCAGGCTGTGGTACATGCTCTTTGCGCGCGTGTTTGCGGTGAAGACGGTCAGCATCGTCTTGGGGATGTGACATGCGCGCGCCACGCTCTCGACGAATTGGACGAGGCGGGACCCGAGGCCCTGTCCTCGCAGGCGCTCGTGGAGATGGATCTCGTAGATGTAGAGGACAGGGCGGTCGTGGTGCGGGGGGTCGTCGTGGGTGAACATGAAGGAGGTGAAGCCGAGGATGGCGTCCGGGCCGCCCTGGGCCGGGCGCAGCAGCAGATACATCATGTCGGCGTCGAGCATCTCGTCGCGCTTCCTGCGCGGGTCCCAGCCCATGGCCGAAGCCGCGTAGTCGTGGCCCGACGTGGCGTGGACGAGGCCGAGGCAGGCGTCGAGCTCGCCCGGGCGGAGGTCGAGGGCGGAGGGGACCCAGTGGAACGCGACGGGGCAGGGTCGCTGGGGCGCCTCGTAGGCACTGAGGGCGGCGTCCTGGCGCAGCAGCGTCTGCACCGTCTGCATGCGCGCGAGGGCCTGGGGCGAGTGCATGGTGGTGAGGTAAGGTGACGATTCCGCCGCCAGCCAGCCGCCCACCGCCCACCGCCCACCGCCCACCGCCCACCGCCCACCGCCAACCTTGGGCACTGGGACGCGCCCTCGACACATCGCACCGCCATGCTGCGCGCCTACGCGACCGTCGCCTTCAAGCCGCCCTCCCGCCTGCGCGCACGAGGAAAAGCTCCCGTGGGCTTGGACCACGTACCTGTCCCACGACGCATCCGGCCTGGCGCCACGCCCGCTGACGGTCCTGCAGTTCATCCAGCGCCAGCGCGCCCTGGCCCTGTGGCGAGACATTGTCCGCAGCACCGCCAGCATCCCCGACGCAGGCGCACGACGAGACATGCGCCGCTTTGCACGCTCCGAGTTCGACCAACACCGCTCCGTCACTGACCTGGGCCACATCCGATATCTGATTTCAGTCCGCCGCCCCAGAACCCCCGCAGCGTGCCCTGGCCCTTTGCTAACGCCTGCCCAGCATGGAAAGACACAGTTCCAGACCATCAAGGGCACCCTCATCAACGCTGGCCTACTCGCCGAATAGCCTCTGTTCAGACACTGCTGCCCCGAATTCCCAACCCCGTCCTGGCCATGGATGCCCCGGTCGAGCAACAGGCCGTCTGCGTCGTCGGCGCTGGGCCCGCAGGTCTGGCGGCTGCACACATCTGCAGACAGCACGGCTTCGCAGTCACCGTCTACGAGGCCGCAGACCGTGTAGGCGGCATGTGGAGACATGACCGCGGGGAATTTGGCGACAAGTGCAGTCCGGAGATGCGCACCAACCTGAGCAGATACACTGTTGCCTTTTCTGACCTGGCTTGGACATCGGTACATGTAGATATCTCGAACCCTGCTGCCGATCCACTAGCTGTTCCGCCTGTGTTTCCCAAAGCGTGGCAGGTAGAATCCGTGTACAGCATGCTGTGAGACAGTTACTGACTTCGTACATGCATCTTTAGGCACGTGGGCCGCTATCTTGCGGCGTATTCAGAAACCCTTGGCTTAACTGACGACATACTCCTCGAGCACCGAGTTGTCAGCGCATCACTGCAAGAAGATCATACTTGGAGAGTGGTCAGTGCCGACGGCACCCGTCAGCTAACATGCCGTACCTTTGATCGACTCGTCGTCGCCAGCGGCTTCTTTAACAAGCCAGCCCACACCTTCAATCCCGTTCCCTCCCACCCTCTCTCAAACATCCAACACTCCTCACGATTTCGGACTCTCTCTGCCCTAACGGAAACCCCCGGCAAGATAGTCGTGATTGGAGGCGGCATCAGCGGCTCAGAGGCTGCTTCTCAGGCTGCTTCTCAGATCTCCAACGCAAAGCACTCGCCTGGTGGAATGACATCCTCCCACGCCGACAGCAGGGTTTTCCACGTCATCAATCGTCCCTTCTACTGCCTGCCCCGCTACCTTCCACAAGACCCTCAGACCCACGACGGGCATTTCAAGCCAGCACCCAGATTCCTTCCCCTTGATCTGATTCTCTACAACCTGTCCCGTCGCGGCCATGGTGACATCTCTGCAGCTATCAGCACCGTTCCACCAGAAAAAGCAAAGAAAGGCCACGACTTCCTACGATCAAGTATAGGCTGCCATCACGCCGACGTCGGCTTCTCAGAGCTCGCGTACACGGCGACCCAGACACAACACCCTGGCTACACCGGTATAACCGACACGTATATGGAGTTTGTCAGAAGTGGCATTATTGTGCCAGTCCGGGGATGGGTTGAACACGTCGAGCAGGCAGCCAACGGTGATTGCCTAGAGATTAGTCTTGCCCAATATGAGCCCTGGTTCCATGGGCCAGGCGCAAAAGCTATGGTACTCCGCTTACTCGAGAGCCTAGGCGCATCGAAAAGGCTGACACTTTACAGGGCGAGAGCAGACTGAGTGATGTGGTCGGTATCATTGAAGCCACAGGCTACAAAGCCGACCTCGATTGGCTCGACGCCCGTGTCCAATCCCTTCTCGCTGACGGCAGCGACAACCCGAATCCGCGCATACCATATCTCCTGTCACGTGGTTCCGTCTTTTCGCAGCAAATACCTACAATTGGGTTCGTGGGTTTCTACGAAGGCCCTTACTGGGGCGTGATGGAAATGCAGGCTCGACTTCTGGCACAACGCTGGGCCAAACGAGAGCCTGAGCAGTCGGCGTCTCTCTCATCCGCCTTGTACACGTATGATGATACGAGGCATATGCAAAATGCCATGGGTCAGAGGTCCTTGCAAGTGCCGCAGTTCTGGATGGCCGACTACGTTGGACTAATGGAAGAGTTCGCACGAGAAACGGGCGTCTCACGTGACGACACCCTATTCGGTAGCCAATCGGGTCCCGCATTCCCATCGCGCTATCGACACAGAGATAGCAGTCTGCAAGCCAAGGCAGTAGTCAGCGAAGTTGCCGGAATACTCGAGGCATCCCGGGAGCATGCTCGGTTTGTTGCAGCGGCCGTGTTCACAGGCATGCAAGGTGTCTGGAAGATGACGCGCAAGATTGATTCACGTACCCAGACACCCGGTGGCACATTCGTGGGTACAGCTCACTTCCATCCGCGTCAATCTACCGATGCAGCGACCTACGCCTCCGAATACTTGTATATCGAACAAGGGACATTCACCATGGACGCTGGGCTGTCATTCCCTGCGACCCGTCGTTACGTCTATCGGTACAACGAAACAAGCGATGAGATCACCGCATGGTTTGTTGAAGACGACGAAAAAAGCGTCGGAAAGCTATTCAATACCTGGCGCTTCCACGCGCCTGATGACCAGGCTGGCGGCTGGATGGCTACGGGCTGCCATTGGTGCGATCCCGACACGTATCAGAATGACTGCGAATTCAAGTTTTGTGGTGCAAAGATCGATCGGTTCATGATCAGATACAAGGTGGACGGACCAAAGAAAGATTATCTGCATGAGAGCTGGTATGAGAGACCAAAGGTAGATGGCGGAGCAAACGAATGCGGATGAGGGCGTTGTAAAGACAGCGCAACGTTTGCAAAGGTCTATCCCATTGCGAAGATATTGGATGGGGTATCATATATAAATCGTCATATCGTACACTTACACCTGGTCTTCAGGCCGGTCATGTGTTTAGTTGCTCCACACCTCCATCAGCGAGCGTACTGGGATGGGTAGGTGGCCCATCTCTCCCTATGCTCTCAAGGTCGGCCAGCAGCATCCTGAGATGATTCTCTCGGTTCTGGTTACTGCCCCAGGTGACCGCTTGCGAGTAGTACAGTATGTCCCACGCCTCGTCACCAATGTTTTGTAGGAACGTGGGCAACGATCGCGCTTTCTGGTACGAGCGCCAGAGTATTCGGCGGATGTCATCGTTTGCGCCGATATAGGCAAGCTCAATGGCTTTGTTGAACGATTTCAGGGCGGGCGCAATGTTGAACGGTGGGGGGAGGTCGACGCGGAGGCGTTGGAGAGCGGCAACGTGCTCTGGGTCTTGGAGGGCAGCAGCCATACGCTCGCTGAGCGGCGCAGTGCGGCTGTCCGCGAGTTGGTAGGGGTCAGGCGCAGTTTCGTGGGCGATAGAAGTCAGATCGCCTTGCTGTTGCTTGTTCTCGGAAATGAGCTTTTGTATGTACATTAGCTTCTCCATCAGCTTCGGGTCTTTCATGATCTCGTCAACCTTGGCCTGGAGCTCAGCGGGAACATCTTCTTCGTCCTCCACAAGCTCTCCGGGCTGCGATGCTTTGGACTGGGCGAGCTTCTTCAGCTCTTCGGCCAATTCTTGGGGGTCCATTTCACGCTCGAACACACCCTCTTCATCTTGACCCGATGTGGAGTCTTCGTTGATCGCTGCGTCGAGTTCGGCTTCGAGCCCGGTATCGCCACCCAACGACTTCATGACATCCCGCATCTGGTGCAGGAGCTTGTCCACGTCCTGCATGTCTTCGGGTGTCGCCATAGTCAGGTCCTCGTCTGGAGTCTCTGCTTGAGCAATGGCGTCTTCGGTCTCTCTCTGATAAGTCTGCCACTCGCGCTCCAATTCGGAGTCGGGGCGTTTACGCATAGCGGCGACCTTGTTCTGCATAGCTTCGTTGCCCTCAAGCTTGTGCATTGCCTTGTTCAGCATAGCCTGGAACACGGGATTGTCTATGTTTTCCACCTCAGGCATGTGGTCGATGCACGCTTGCAGGTCGGCCTTTGCGTCTCCGATGTCCGGGTCCTCGAGGACGTCTTGTAGTATTTCAAGTGTCGCCATCCGTAAGCCGGCGTTGAACTGCTTGCTCTCTGCCTCTGCCTTGGCAGCGCCCTGTTGTTTCAGTTGCTGGAGCTCCTCCCTCGACTTGATGCCTTTTTTGATGAGCTGGAGCTCATCCGTCAGTTCGGCGAAGTTTGGATTTGTCAGGAGGCTGTCGATGAGCCGCCGGTTCAAAGTTGCGTCGTCATGGTCGGGGTTCTTCCGAGACTCTTCTATCATCAGGTACATGTCTCTGTCCTTCTTGCGGTCTTCGGGCGTGGCTATGCGCTCAATCAGGCGCTGCGGCGTGCCTTTGTCCAAGTCCTGCTCGTACCAGTTGATGACGGGCAGATCGTCGCGTTCGAGTTCGGCATCGGACAGCGGACGCATTGCCTGGTCCATTTTCGCGTCATCCTCGAAGATGGAGCGTGAGCCTCTGAGCCGGCCTAGGAGCGAGGGCTTGGATTTCGTCGTTGCATCGTGCTCCGACCCATCGGGATAGCTGGCTTTGGTGCGTTTTCCGCGTCGGAGCAGCACTGGTGGGGGGCGAGCAAAAGGACATGGTGTAGCGCGAGCTCCCAGGAAAGCGCTTGAGCGTGTACACGCGCGCGAGAGCATCGTGGCAGGCTTGGTTGAGGAGCGAGAGTGCCAAGTCGCTGTCTCAAACTTGTGACGTTGTCTTGGCACCTCCGAGAACTCCGCAATTGCTTGTCACGCCTTAATAAGAGAGCTACCCAGGCGCGCTGCGATCATCAAGGTGGACTATCCTAATGCGGTAAGGCGGCAGCTGCCCGCAGTCCCCATCATTGCGAAAGCTGTATCAATCCCTTGTCCCTGTCCTGCCACCAGAAACGTCTCTCTCCGGCACATGATGAAGACGATGAGGACCAAATGGTTGCGCCACAAACAGCTCCGCGTCAGTGGGTTAGCGTCACACGTACATAACATACACCCAACGTGTCGTTACTGAGTCAATCTAGCCAGCTAATCCAATGCAGTCACAAAAGACACACGGTGCATTTCTCGAGTTACCAGGCGAGATACGAAATATGATCTACGCCATGGCCATCTACCCAGAGCTTTCTTCGCTCGTGATCGCAAATTGCACTAAGCCGGAGCATCTCGCCGCATCTGTGCTGCATCTTTCTGCCTTCCGCGTCTGTCGCCAGATACGGGCCGAATGTCTCTCCTACATTTGCGCCAATTTCTCCCTCAAGTTCCTTGGCCTGCAGACTGCGGATCTCTTCTTTTGGTGTGCGGGACTAGCCATCTCCGAGATCAAGGCTTTTGTTCTTGTGCAGCCCTGCATTGCTCTGAAAAGCAAACAAAGCGGAGATATGTGTGAGCGCTTCCTGGCTGCGCTAGATAAGATGGACCAGTTGACCGAAGTTGTCTTGGAGGAAACCGCGAAGGTTCTGGCGTTGGAAAAGAATGAAGAGCAGAACGAGTTCACAAGAAGGGTCGAGGCTTTGAGCAAAAGAGGCGTGAAAGTCCAAGTCAGCGTGGGGAACAGATATATCATGTAGAAGGAGTGGATTTGCGACGTCGCTTTCGTGGAGAGGCTGCTAGAGAGAATAGTGCGGGCGCACACGTCTTGGAGGTGCCGTGTCCTTACCCGCCATTTCCAACAACCTTCGGCTTCTCTTTCACACGAGGTCGCATCTATAGCACCTCATATCGCGTGTATGCTGGGCTCACGAAGCATCACTGTACTGGTATCTGTCCCCTCCAAGCCATATTTTGACAAGTCCCACGTGACCACTGTAGCATTGAGAGCATAGAGTTAGCGTGTGCCATACACGCAGAAGTAGTAGCACATGTATGCTTTCAGGCTCAAGACTTACCTTCTTTAGCTTGAAATCCCATTCTCCCGTACAAAGGCTTGCCCATCGGGGACGACTCCAAGAAGGCAGGTAGTCTCGCGCGGTCCGCTTGCTTGGTACCCCACTCAAGTAACATAGATCCTGCACCTCGGCGGTGGTGATCTGGGTGCGTTACGAGGATATGCAAAACTGCTGTCCGTCAGCAACACCTTCCGACGTAGCGCGCTGGATACTAGCAGTAAAAGGGCTTCGTTCCCATGTACTCCCTTCTTACTCGACTCAGGAATACCATGAAGTCTAGCAAGCCCTGTCTTCCCTTGGCTTCATCATCTGGCACTGGATACATCTTGCTGGCTTCTTCCTCACTGCGCTCCCGCTCGTTGATGCGCCATTTGGCGCCTGCGATCATCTTGCCATGGGCGTCGGTATCGATGACTTTGAGATATACAACGTCAGGCTCGTCGCGCCAAGACTTGACGTGCTTTTCGATAGACTTTTGGATGTACTCGTCGGTGATGGGGTTAGGCGTGAGCAGGGAAGTGATACCACCGCCGTTGGCAAAGGCGGCGATCTGTATGGCGACGAAGGTTTCAAAGTCGGCTGCCGAGGTTATGCGGTGGACCTGAAGAGGCATGTTGCCTGTGTGTTACCAACACTTGGACTCGAGGCTGCGTCGTAGACAATTATACAAATGGACCACCACAGACGGGGATATTGCACAGTCGCTAGCACCTTCCTCTTAGGGCGAAGGCGGGGTGGTTCCTACGGCCAACGCGCAACACCAAAGAGGCACTGCCGCCCTTTATTTCGCCTTGCTACCAGCGTTCAGCCCTTTTCAACACGTCCAAAATGGAGACATGTTGCACGGGCCTGATCAGCGCAGACTCACAGCAGTGGCCAAGGATGTTGGGCCATGATCTGTCGGCCCACAGCTACTTCGACATCGCCCTTCCCCGAGTCCTTGGCCGCATGGCTGACTGCAAGACTCCACCAAGCTTTTGCGGACCGCGGCATCTTCGCGACGATATATGCGCACCATGTTGTTTCCATCGCCGGCATGTTGTGCTACCGTAGGCTTGGAACGTTGCTTGGCCTGGACTCTGGAACGCACGACGATTCGAGGTGTGGAGGCATGGAACGGGTTTCTGAAACAGCCACAGCATGTGACGCGATGCGACAACTCCCAAAGTCATGAGACATGGTTTTGGCCGAACACCAGGTTGCCGATGACGTTGTGAGATGTCGAGAACTCTGATTCAGCTCAGACATACTTATGTGGATGCGATTGGCCCTTCACATTGTCCAAGCGCAAAGTCGGGAGCCTTGAGCGCAATCCAGAGGGCAGTTGACGACAAGGAACGCGAACGACAGAGCACCAGACTCAGGGACAGGAGACACCGCCACAAATCTCATGGCAGCTTCGCCATATGAAGCTCGTCGCCTCGATCGTTCCTGCTGCCCATGCACATCGCTCGTCCACCTCGGCAACAGCTGTCGCAGACCTGGCCAGGTGCGTGGGGACAACGGCTACTGGCATGTAGCTCTAGCCCCAACCCCGTTCCCGACGAGCTTGAACCGACATGGAAGGGCTCATAGAATATGTCGCACGACACTCTTGACTGCCAGTATGCGTGCTACATGCGGTCTGGCATGACGTTTGATGTGTCTTTGGAAAACAAGTGAAAACATGACAGGTGAGTATACTACATGTTCAAACTCATAAAAAGCGGTGGTTAAATGAACAGCGTTAACCATGGCATCTTGCTACATGATACTATAAAGGGGCTTGTCGCATGCTTTTTGTGGTGAACAGCAGTCCATACATTCCACATCTTCTCTTCCAATACCCGTACTTGTTTTATCCATATTCGCATAATACTTTGTAATACCCTAATATCGCTTCCTTGACGGAACATAGCGAGACGACTCTATCATTATGAAATTCCTTATTT